GTGGCCTTGCCCGAAACAATCCACTCTTTCCTAGAATAACTTCCTTGCCCTGACTCCTGCCTATACAAGCCTTTCATTTTACACAGCTCCTCAGACCTCCTTTCTGTCTGCTAGATGGGGATGGCACTTGATTTGTGAATTGCTGAATAAAGCCACTTAGATCTTCAAATTTACTCAGCTGAATTTTGTTTTTTTTTAACCGTAGAAAGAGGTGTTTTTGATGAGACTTATGTCAAACCTTTTTGAAGGCTGACCTGAACTGTAGGTAGTGTTATTCTGCAGCATTTCAGAAAAGGCCAGGTTGGAAATTTTGGGGAAACCCCAGGAAACGCAGCAAGAGCCAAGAAGCCTTGTGAAGAGAGGCCTGTCCCCTCTGCAGTATGCTTTTGTTTCTCTTCCTCTTCCTCTGGCTTCTGCTCTGTGCCTGCTCTTCCTTCCTCTGGGAAGCCCTCTGGCTGCCAATGGAGCGCCTCACTGAGAGCTCCAGCAGCTAGGCAAATCCCTCCCAAGCCGCTTCCTATTTACCCAACAGGAGCGGCTTTCCAGGGCACACCTGGAGGCTCAAATCAAATCAAGAGCCTCCCTGCCTTGCGGGCACTTCATTTGTATTCTCCCTAATCAGAAGAAACCCTGCAGAGGCCTAGTTCAGGAGCCAGTGGAATGAGAAAGCAGAACTCCTGCCCTCTCTGGTGCATGGGAGGGAGTGGCACACGCCATGTACAGTGTGCCCATAGGCTGCATGTGTGGAAATTGCCCTGAACCTGAATCCTTGGAGGCTTTCCCGGTTCTTTCCCCACCTTCTGACTGTAAACTTGAAAAAAAGGGCCTAACACTGGCTCCGGCTGGGTGAGAAAGGAGTCCCTGGTGATAAAGGAGCAGAAGGCAAACAAGCAAGGCCCACCCCCACCCCCAGATGGGATATGTGTGACATTCCTCAGGTACTCCTGGCTGCCCAAGAACAAAGGAAAGGAAAGAAAACAAATGGTTAGCTGATAAGAGATCACAGTCATACAGTACCTGGGTCTCCATCGGTTTACAAATGTCTTAGTAAATTACAAGAAAAAGGCAATCTTATCTATAGCCTAATCTCCAGAAACCTACAGACTCAGTTTCCTGGAGCCCCTAATATCACCCTCCCCTCCACAGTGATGTGGGGAACAAAGTCAAGAAGGAAATGGCAGGTGAAATTAAATTTCCTTATAACCTGCAGCCCATTGACAAATACTTGAGGCAAATACAGAGTATAACATTTCTCTAGGAACCCCCTTCCCTCCTAATGTTAATGCCTTACTAGGGGGAAAACAACCTTAGCTTGACAACAGCAAAGCCCCTGGCATCTTACGAGTCTTCTTTAGCATATCAAAGTACTTCTGGAGGCCTCCCTTTTGTCTTTACCTCCCCCAGCTCCATAGTATATAACCAGTCTCTCCTGAGGACCCAGAGCAGCTCTTTCTGCCTCCTGGTCCTGTCCCACTGCTTTAATAAAATCACCTTTTTGCACCAAAGACATCTTCAAGAATTCTTTCTTGGCTGTCAGCTCCAAACCCCCACCAGCATTCCAAAACCTCACCATTGGGAAAGACTGGAACCTGTTATCAGGCTGCACTCCTACTTTTGGCCACCAGACTGCAGTGATAATGCATGATGACCAGGGAAGGATCTAGTTTACAGGCCCCAGTGAAAATGCATGGCTCTTTGTTCAATAACTATTAATTTCAAGGCTGCAGCAGTAAAACATTAAACTAAAGATAGGGCCTTTGCAACTGCACAGGTCACATGAGAATGAGGCTGGCCCTGGCTGGGGCTCGCGGACCTGGAGATCCAGGAGAAGCCAGCCCTGCCATCAGACGGGTGCTGATAGTGCTCAGGATTAGTCTGTCACCACTGATAGGCATCCCTTGGCCATCTCCCACCTGCTTGCCTGTCCTTTTCCCCCAGTGTCCTGCTGACTCTATCCACAATACTTAGAGAAAATTATATTTTCAGAGAAAGCCACTAGGGTACAGTTTTTGAAAAAGGTGCATGGTTTCACAATTGTTAGGAAATTTCTCTCGGGAAGTGGGAGAGCCTCTCTGTGAAACAAGCACAGAAAATCCAAGGTCTGCAAATTTAACTTTAGCTAAGCCCTCTCACTTACTTCTAAAATAACCCAGCAACCTTTCATTTTTATATTCAAAGCAGCCAGCATGTTCCAAAATATGTACAGACACCTGAGAAAGAAGAGTGGCCCAGAAGTGGCTCCCAAGGTCCTGGTCGATGTTTAAAATCCTGTATCTGAGAACAACAGGGTGGGGCTGGGAAAAGTCTGACCTGCCCTGAGACCCCAGGACCTGTTGTTCCTACCCTTCAGGTTCCCCCAGGTAAAAGGAAAAGTTAATTGGGGAACAAAGGCATTCAATCTGCTTTGAATCTAACCACTCCTTTGAATCAAGGACTAGCATATCCTCCAAGTCCTCCCAGAAAAGGGAGCAGGAAAGTCCACAAAGTTCCTAGCTAAATGGTGCTACATTCCCTTACACACTCATATGTTACTGCATGCAGAATGCTTTCTTCCCAGCCTCTTCCCTGGTGAGAGTTGGCTGATAGAGGAGAGCAAGTCCAAGTCCACCCACTATGGGCTCTGTGACCTTGGGCCAGTCCCTAATCCTTATGGGTCTCCTGATTCCCAAGTGTACAGAGAGGAGGTTGGATGGGCCACTAAGGAGCAATTCAGTCCTGAAACAATTTTATGAATGTCTGAGTCCCAAGTAAATGTCATATTAGAGGTTGTCTAGCAGCAACAGATATTTTCTGTGCCTAAAACATTTTTCTGTGGAAGCAATGCCTGAGGAGAAAAAGAGCTCGGGTGGCAGATGTGAACCTGGGGTCTCTAATCTCTGTGCTGCTTCATTGGAGGTACCCATGGATTATGGGGGTTATGCAAAACAGACTTCTTAGCTACTCAACAGCCCCAGCACCTACCCTTCTCTTTGGTAATCTTCGTCCAGATTTGACAGGAGCTGAGAGCCCGCCGCGGAGAGGTCGACTGCAGCCAGGGGCAGATCACGATAGGCAAAGTTCACCAGCTGCACGGGAGCAATGCTCTTGGTTTCTTCGTCTACTTGTTGGGAGATGATCTCAACTTCAGAAATTCCTCCTTCTATGGCAGGCCTGAGTTGGGGAGAAGGGCGACAGTCAACCCTTAAGAACAAAATAATTTTTCTACTCTCCAAGGAAAGGAGGAGGAAATGCATCAGAATGTATGCTGTGCTGGTGGAGAGTGGGGAAGCTTGAGGTCACCATTCTTACACACTGGCCACCTAAGGGACTGGACTGAAGCCCCATTCTCCTCTACCAGTTGGGGAACAGTGGAAGAATGGAAAGAGGAATTGCTCAGATCTAAAAATATGAGCTATGGAGGCAGGAGCCTTATCAATGGGGCTAAAGACCCAGATGGAAATTCTGCCAACCAGAAAAACCAGGGCTTAGACCTTTAGGATTTTTGGTCCCTAGAGTTTATATTGGAGTAATATATTCTTGTAAACTGTCTCCTGGGTTTCTGTGTACAAGTCCTTTGAAATGTTTCTACCATCTATACCACAATAGAGAAGAGAGGTTTCTGTTCATGACTGGATGTACTGCTGGTGGTCGTGGAGCCCACCTGGAGAGACAGAGTGAGCCTTGGACAGCGAGGACAGCAGGAACCAGCTGTCACTGGGTGCCACTCCCTTCTTACTTGAACTGGTCCTACTACTCTCTCCTTTTAAGGTTGAGAGTAGGAAATGGAGGCCACTTGATCAAACATCTGTGGAGTTATCGGTCTCCTATGTCATTGTCAGGCTAGGGCACTGCAAATAACTGAACTCTGGCATTACAGGGCTTCTCATCCAGGGGCAGTATCCCCTCCCAACCTACCAGGGGATTTCTGGCAATTTGTGGAAATTTTGGCTGCCACACTGACCACAGGAGGTCACTATTGACCTAAGTAGGAGTGGACATTACACATCCTCTGCCCAAACACCAAGAGACACCCTGTGGAGAGATGCTGGGCTGGATCATTTTGCTTTAACTTCCTGGGGTGCCATCTTTGCTCCCCCAACACACTCCTGACCCCATCTTATCCTGTAGAATCTGAGGGGCTGGGTCTTATGCCTCAGGCCAAACAATGAAGGTCAGAAAGAAAAATGGTGTGGATGGAGAGGAATAAAAATTAAATATTTGGGGAAACACTGAGAGGTCAGTTTGAATACTGAAGTGGCAGCCAGTCTTGGCAGCTGTGTCTGGGCTCTGGTGCCCCATCTCTAATGCTGACTTCCATTGGACTTCTCTACAGCCTCAGTTTCTCCAACTGAAACACACAGGTGAAACAGAGGCTCCTTAAGGGTCATTCTTTCTTATGCTACAGTCTGATATGGATTTGAAATATGGGGCACCAAGTGGCGGGAGGAGCTCTGCAGGGACAAGTTCCTACATTCGGGTGGGGGACTCTAAATTCTAGACTTTTCTTTTCCAACCATCACTGAAATCTAACCAGTAATACACAGTGGCAGTTATCCAGGAAGTTTAGAGCTGAATTTGCCTATTGCTCATTTGATTGAATCATCCAGATAATTGAGGAAATAGTGGGATTTTTATTTGAATGCCCCAGGTTGGCAGCCTAAACTACCTGGATTCACCAAGTAATTTCCAATGCCCCAATTCTCTTTGGTAGGCATTATTTAAACCTTTGCTTTTTGCTACCTGTCAAGCACAGATAATAGTACTCATCATTGTATGACATTTACAAAATGACTCAAGATCTTTAGACAGAACAGTCATAGGATAGGAGGCTTCTGTGTTTCTCAACAACTGAAATACAAGTGGTGGGTGTTCAGTGGGGGAATCCTGGCTCCTCCAGGTATTTCCAAAAAAGTAGATGCTGAGTTGGGGTGCCTGGGTGGCTCAGTCAGTTAAGCGTCTGACTTTGGCTCAGGTCATGATCGCACAGCTTGTGAGTTTGAGCCCCACATTGGGCTCTGTGCTGACAGCTTGGAGCCTGGAGCCTGCTTCAGATTCTGTCTCCCTATCTCTCTCTGCCCCTCCCCACTCACACTCTCAAAAAATAAACATTAAAAAAATTTTTTTGAAAAGTAGATGCTGGGGGCGCCTGGGTGGCGCAGTCGGTTAAGCGTCCGACTTCAGCCAGGTCACGATCTCGCGCTCCGTGAGTTCGAGCCCCGCGTCGGGCTCTGGGCTGACAGCTCAGAGCCTGGAGCCTGTTTCGGATTCTGTGTCTCCCTCTCTCTCTGCCCCTCCCCAGTTCATGCTCTGTCTCTCTCTGTCCCAAAAATAAATAAATGTTGAAAAAAAAAATTTAAAAAAAAAAAGAAAAGTAGATGCTGGGTTGAATTTTTTGTTTTCTCTTGGACTACTCAAGGAAACTACGGGTGGCTTAACTGAACAGACAGAACTTTTTGATTAATGGGATGTTCATTGAGGGCTGGGGTGAGTTTCTGAGACTAACAGGATGTGGCTCTGAGAAGCAGGGAACAGGGTACTACTGCCTTTCTTGTTCTCTGTTACCCTCCTGCCAGTGGCCATAGCAGCCAGCACCATCTCTGGTCATGTGGTCATCTCAACAGGAGGAAACAAGGCCTCCCTTGGTAGGACTGAGGGTCCCACAGTTCATAGCCTGGGTATTGATACAAACCTCTGGTCCTGGATATGAAGAACAGCATGATGGACAATATGTATTAATGGCCCCATTCTTCACCCCTCCCTTTGCCATGTGACTCCATAGAACTACTCCCATCAGAAAGAAGAGTGTGTTTTTCCACCCTTGATTCTGGTTTTTTTTTTTTTAATTTTTAAAAATACTTATTTATTTTTGAGAGGGAGCTGGAGCAGGGAGAGAGAGAGGGAGACAGAGAATTCAAAGCAGGCTCTACAATGTCATCGTAGAGCCCGACACAGAGCTTGAACCCATGAACTGTGAGATCATGACCTGAGCCAAAATCAACAGACACTCAACTGATTGAGCCACCCAGGTGCCCCATGGGTTCAGTTTTATGATTTGTTTTGGTCAAAGGGATGTCATGTTAGCAGACATGACACAAGCAGAGGCATGAAAAGACACTTGAATTTCTGCTTGTGATTTTGTGTATCTGATATTGCCATTAGAAGGTGACCAGTCTAGCCTAGGGGAGGCTGAAAGGTACCTTGAGCAGAATCCAGTTTCACCTAGATCAGCTGATAGAAGTCAAGCCCCATAACTGAGAGTGATCCCAGATTGGTGGAACTATCTAGCTGGCTACCCCAAACATAAAGGGATAAATACATATTGCTGTATTCTATTCAGGTACCATGGTTGGTTGGTACACAGCATTACTGTGGCAATAGATAATGGGTTCCTGCTCCAGATGACAGCAGCCAGTCCCATAAACAGGCAGGCTGGGGCAGTGTGGTGTAACAGAAAGATTGCTGTTCTCATCTTGGTATTTTTGCCAACGTGTTGCAGGACACAAATGATTGACCACTTTGCTGGTATTTGGTAAGACTAGGTGGTGGTCAATGTGGCGTCTTAGATTTTGGGAACTGAAAGCACTTCTCCCTTACAAGTTCTGCCCTTGGTTTCATAAAGCCTGCTTTTAGAAACCCTCTCACGATTTCTAAATTTCCTTGCCAATTCTCATTTTGTTAATTCACCTTAAGTACTTCCTAATCTTGTCTTGAGGTTTGCTTTTGAAGTTTTCCTCATTTTCTGAGGCCTCCTACTAGAGGAAGTGTGTTTAGTGGTTGTCTGAATCAGAAGATCCTGTCTTATGGAAAATTCATAGCAACAGTTTTGGACTGCAGAATTCCTCTGCTTTTTTTTTTTTTTTTTTAAGAGAAAGAGGGGCAGGAGTAGAGGGAGAAAGAGAATCTTAAGCAGGCTTCACGCTCAGTGTAGAGCCCGATGCAGGGATCGATCTTATGACCACAAGCCCAAACCAAGAGTCATACTCTTAACCGACCAAGCCACCCAGGTGCCCCATCCTTTGCTTTTTCAAACCAAAAACTGAGATGACATTAGTGGGGCAACTCAGAGAAAAAGCTTAAATGTGAGGTTCAAGGACAAAGTCACCTGGAACGCCTCCATCTACATAGGGCTGAGGAAGAAACTGTTGGTTGCACCCATGATTCTGAATTACCAACTCAGCATCCACAGAGAGGAGATCCTGGTGTTACTTACTGTGGATTGGTCATGTTGAAAGATGCAACCAGAGCCATGGGTTTTCTTGGTGTCTACTGTGGCTCAGCTGTCTTGAAGCTTGTTGTCAGCATTTCTAAGCGTGAGTTCTTACAAGATATACAAAATGGTACCTTGAAAACAAATAATTGAATGGTAGGAATTTATCACACTCAGATGTCAAACCAAAGTCCTCCTAAGCTCATCTAAAAATGGAAGTCCTTAGAACTTTGTTCCATACAGCACTTTTCTTCAAAGTTATGTTTGAACACAGTACATGTTGAAAAGATTCTTACAATTACCCTATGGTAGAATAGGCAGAATTATTTTTCAGAGATGAATAAATAAGTCAAGAATGACAAAATGACTTTTCTGTGTCACACACAGATGATGGAAGAGCTAGATTGGACCCAGTTTTTCTGACTTTTCATCTATAGCTCTTTCCACCAAATAGCCATGCCTAAGCAAACCAGGGTAATGTTCTACTCCAGCTTTGGGAATCTCAAAAATCTGAAGTGTCTTCCCACAAGGAGAGAGGCAGCATACCCTGGAGCCAGACTGCCTGGGGTCAGAAGCCGGCTCCCACTTATAAGCCTTGTCACCCTGGGTAAATTCCTTAACCCCTTTGTTCCCAGTTTCTCCACCTATAAAATAACAATGAAAAACAGGACTAACTAAATGAGTTAATGCTTGTGAAACACTTAGAATAGTGCCTGGCATGTAGTGTTGGCTTGTATTATCACAAGTATTATTTTATAAATTTAGATTACACAGTCTGTTGAATCTGAGCACATTCCAAAACATTTGGATGGCTGGGTGTAAGATTTCCTCTTAAAATTTGGATTAGGTAAACAGAATATACTTTTCTATAAACCACTGCTATGGCACCACCTGGAAGTCTTCTAAGAGACAGTAACGATCTGGCAAAAAGTACACAAAGAGACAGATCCGGGTTCTGGGTGATTGTGTACAAGTTACAACAGAGGGTATTCTAATCCTTGTGGAGACTGTCTCCTATTGCAAAATGCTTTTCCTGCAAGGCAGCAACATGAGAGCAACCCCCTCTCTGAATCCCAAAGCTCAGCAATTAGAGGCACTTGAAAGGGACAAAGTCTCCTTACATCATGTAAAAGGAAAAGACGCTCCCAGGGTGAAAAGTATCAGGAGATGGTTGGTAAATCTGCAAAGTGGGGAAGCTCCTTCAAGTTTAGTGTAATTAAGAAGTGACAGTTGAAGTTAAAAGTACATGAGGAAATTTTGGGAAAGTCTTACAGTAGTTACTCTAAGAGAGATGGGGAACTCTAAGAGAGTAGTTACTCTAAGAGAGATGGGGAAGAGAGATGGGGAACTTCCTAAAATTAGAAGGGCTTCAATATATGAAGCCACCGTTTCCATATCAGATGGATGTGGGGCAAAAAAAGAAAGGGACAACCACATGTAGCAAGACGGTTCTGAACATTAGAATCAAAACTCTTCTTTACAGTATTGGGAATTGTGAATTAATTGTATACTAAGCTTTATACACATACATATACATATTATTCCATAATAGAGACATAGTCGGTCCCAATCTTCTTTGTTCTCTTTATAAAGCCTGAAGCTAAGAAACACCCTGGTAGGAAGACTGGTCATGTGGAGTGCTTCAACTCAACTGACAATGAAGCCAGGATCAAGGTACCCACACATGGGAGACCAGCTGAGCAATGCCCCCTTCCAGAATGGGGTTTTCACAAGTTGCATCTCCAAGTGAACACTTTACATGTTTCATAAGGTATTAACCCTATGAAGGACATAACAGGAAGATCTTTGCTCTTATGGACCTTCCAGTCTGGTTGGGCTGACAAGTTTGAAGCACACAAAACTTGAAATTTTGTGTGTGCCCTTGGTAGTGAATGAGTAAAAATGGATAGATCTATATTTATAAATAAAAAAAACACCAACTACTGCAGTAATATAGTATGGCCAATGATGAGGGAAACAAAGGCAGAAGGAAATGGCAGGTAAAATTAAATTTCCTTATAACTTGCAGCCCATTGGCAATACTTGAGGCAGGCAGAGTAAAAAGTTTCCCCAGGAACTTCACTGTCTTAATGCTAATGCTTTGCTAGAGGGAAAAACAACCTTAGCGTGACAATAGCTAGGCCTCAGGGATCCCGTGAGTCTTCCTTAGCATATGAAAATCTCCTGGACTTCCCCCAACTCCTAGTTATGTAAGCAGTCTCTCCTCAAGGTCCTGGGCAGTTCTTCCTGCCCAGGGGTCCTGTCCACATGCTTCAATAAAATCACCTTTTTGCACCAAAGATGTCTTCAAGAATTTTTTCTTGGCTGTCGGGTCCGTACCCCATGAACCCGACTATCACCCCTAAAACCTCATCAGCCAATAGAAAAGAAAATTATTTTTAAAAATTCTTTGACTTTTTAGGAAGGAAAATTCCAAATATACATTATTACAGGGAATTACAAAAAGGACTTCCAGTTACCTATCACCTAACTTCAACAGTCATCAACTCATGGATAGTCTTGTTTGCTCTATATTCCTGCCCATTCCTCACCCCTCATGATGATGTCATTTCATTCATCTATAAGCGGTTCAGTATGTAGCTTAAAGGATAAGGAATCCATTTAAAAGATATACCATAGGGGCGCCTGGGTGGCGCAGTCGGTTAAGCGTCCGACTTCAGCCAGGTCACGATCTCGCAGTCCGTGAGTTTGAGCCCCGCGTCAGGCTCTGGGCTGATGGCTCGGAGCCTGGAGCCCCGGAGCCTGGAGCCCGTTTCCGATTCTGTGTCTCCCTCTCTCTCTGCCCCTCCCCCGTTCATGCTCTGTCTCTCTCTGTCCCAAAAATAAATTAAAAAAATGTTGAAAAAAAAAATAAAATAAAAGATATACCATAAAATCGTCAATGCTCCTAAGCCAGCAATATTTTCTTAATATTGTTAAATATCCAGGCATTGTTCACATTTCCCCATTTGTCCTATAACTTTTTTAAGGTTTATTAAGTCAGAAGCCAAATGAGGACCACATGTTATGACTGGTTAATATATCTCTTAAGTCTCATTGAATCCGTAGGTTTCCCCCTCTATCTCATTTTTTTCCATGCAATTTATTGGAAAAACTGGGTCATCTGTTCCAAAAGTTTCCCAGTCTGGATTATGGTAACTGTAACTCTTTCATGTCATGTTCCTGTCCTCTACCTTTCCTGCAGTTTTTAGTTAATCTATAGACTTCAATCAGATTCAGGTTCATTTTTTTTTTTTTTTTTTTTTTTTTTTTGCAAGACTGCATAGGCATGAAAGTGTCATGACTTTCATCAGGAGATACATGTCTTCTTTTTTTTTTTTTTTTAAGATTTTATTTTTAAAATACACCTAATGTGGGGCTCAAACTCACAACCCTGAGATCAAGACTCACATGATCCACCAACTGAGCTAGACAGATGCCCTAGGAGATACTATACATAATATCTTCTTGTTCCTCTTTTTTGTGATATTAACAGACATTGATGATCACTTCCCAGATCCATAAATTCATTAGGATTTGCAAAAGGGGCATATTATGATTTGTATCATTCCTTCTTCATTTATCAGCTTCTATGAAAACAAATCCTCCTCACCAACTATTTGATTCCCCTAACATACATTTCACATAGAAAAGAAAGGATAAATGCTTAACTTCTTCTGTTTATTGATTTTCAAAATAATTAATTGGTATCGTTTATCCTCCAAACTTATCAATGAGATATTTTTTTGTTTTCCACAGCATCATGGATTTAACCATTCACTCAGCAGGGGTGGAGTGAAAGAGCAGACTCCCTGGTAAGCAGGATGGTAGTTTCCTGAGGAGATGTGGGAGTGGGTGAGAAATGACTGGCATCTCCAGTACAAGATAAAGATGAGGCAGGAGAGAGGGTAAATCATATTTGGATGGACAGTGAGTAGGTGTGGGACCCAAGGAATTTAACAAAAATCCCCTACCCCTGGACAAGCAGAGCAAGACTAACTCCATTTTGTGCTACACCCATTATCTCATGTATAACCCCCACATGACCTACTTATTGCTTAAGACACTCCCCCACCCTAGTCAAGCCTCTGAGCACACCTTTACTGGAAACTGGCTCATATAGGAATGCGGAACCCCTAACCGCCAAAGAATGTAAACCCCGCCTTTTGCCCGCCAAACTTGCGCACCAATTCTGACCAGAGTGATAGGTTAGTTCAAACAGTTACTATAGGGTAAATTGTAATTCAATTGGCCACCTGCGTGTGGACTGACATGACTATGCAACTTTCTGTGTGTGTTACAATCTCATTGGCCACTGGCCCCTATAAAACTGCTACGCCTCTTAACCTAGGGGTCCAAGTCCCTGCTCCGCTGTGTCTGGTGTACTTGGGCCCAAGCTCGAGCTTGCAATAAACCCTCGTGCGTTTGCATCGGTATTGGCTCCTTGGTGGTCTCTTGGATTCGAAATCGGGGGCATTACAGTAGGCTGCTTCAGTCAGTGGTTTTGATCCTTAACAAGCAGCACATTTTAGAAAGCAAGTTCCTTGAAGGTGATGTTATTTAAAAATAATATCCTCCAAATAAAATAACCCCCAAAGCACACGCCTAGCATGAAGCAGGTGTAGTCTAGCACTCTATAAATGAACATCTGAAGTGCAAACCTGCTGTCTCATAAACCTAGTAAAAGCAGAAGAGAAAACCTGTTTTGGATTTACAGGGTCTGGCTATGGTGGGTGGTGAGGCTGCTATTTTGACTTTAGCAAAATCCCAGTTTCTTCCACTTGTTGCTCATTCGTCTTTGTAATTATCAATATCATTTGCTTGTTCCAGCCAGATCTGCAAAATTCAAGCTGGCATCCTAGGAATTTTAAACCTGAAAAAGGCTTCTAAAATCAAGTTGTCAGTTCCCTCACTTAACAGGTGAAAAAGTCCATAATACAGCTCACCTGTCCCCAGAGGCACCCAGGTCAATTCCTCATCCCTTACTTGTTTAACAGCTCGATGGCATATGTGACCTGCTTTAATATGCATCCCATTCAGG